GCGGAGAATGCACTGACCCAAGGCAGGGGATTTTTGCAGAGGCATTCAAGTGGCAAGTATTCTAAGCAAGCTTCTACACTTGTACTTGTAATTGTAATTGATTAGATTACCAGGCCGTGGAAAGTCCCGACATTTCAGCTTCAAATGGTGGGGTCAAAACCAGGCGGCTGTCGTCGCCGCTTGCCGCCTTCTTGCAGAAAATCCAAGTGTGCCGCAGCGGTGTGGACCTTTGGTGAGGGAGAAAGAGAAGAAATAGGTAACAACACCAAAATGGAAGTACAAGAACAACAAAAAGTCTAAAGAAAGACAGACAGACAGACAGACAGACAGAAAGAAGAATGAAATGCAAGACAATGAAAAGTAAAATTAAGGGGCAGTTGGAAAAAAGTCATTTGGTCGCCTCGCAGACATCATGGCACCCTCCGAGCTTGTGAGAAACTTCTCAGGCGGCACTTGGCAGCATCGCAGCAGAAGACCAGGGTTTTGGATGGGAGACTGCAGCTGGACAAGTAGCAAGGCCAAAGGGGGCGACCAGAAAAGCAACGAACCCGTATGATTCTTGGCGGTTTGCAGCATACAATAACATTGTTACATCATTCTTTAGCTTGGGCAGGCTTCTTGATGAAGATGACTGGGAAGTGAAAACCTGTGCGCTGGAATGCTTGGCAGCGCTAGGTTCGACGTGCTTGCTTGCCTGCCCTGCAGAGCATGCTTGGGGATTCCGTGGCGTTGCTTTGATAAATGATAGGTCGGAGAGCCCGCGAGCATGTGGACAAGGCGCTGCTGCTCTGTTGAGACGTCCGTGGCCATGTGGAACATACCTCAAGAAAGCCAAGCCGTGCAGGTGATTGGTCAAATGGGTGATGAGAGATACATCGTGCGTGCCAAGGCCCACTGCCTTATGTAATGTTTAAAATAATGCAGCGCAACGTGCAAGTAAGATGTGGACGCTAAGTCCACCTGGCCCAAGCATGAGGCATGTAGGCTTCACTGGTGCTAGCTTAGAACCAGTCATGTTCTCATCGATCAATCCATGGCTCGCATACGTGCAGATGCATTCTGGCTTGATTTTTTGTTAAACCTATTATATAATATATATATATATTATTGTAATTATACTGTTACTATTTGAGAGCGCAATGATCCAAGTTTGTCCTTGGTGTTTGAGTCATTGGAGGATTGAAATGCCACTGTGGGCATTGTGTCCGACATTGTGCTTGAGCTCAGGCAGCCTTCGCAGTGGGAAAGATTGGCGAGGCAGAGAGCATCAGCCTCAGCAAGCTGGCAGATCTTCTGGAGGACTCCGCTCAATTCTTATTTTTTGCCGGTGTTCCTTTGGGAAGACAGCAGTTCTTTCATGCTCCTTGGACCAAACAACTGATCCTTAAAAGACTGTTTGGCGACCTTGAGACACATTGACCATTTGTTTGAGTTCTTGATTGCACTTTCCATGTTTGCTGGAAGGACAACTGTCCAGCGGTAAAATCTGCTGCTGCATTGGGGCTGGCAGAGTCCAGGGCTCAAGTCGTTCAGAACGAAGCTCGCTCGATCATATTGAACTTTCCAAATAAACTTACTGTAAGCTTATATGGCTCATTTGTTATCCTTGAAGGCTGGGGGATGATGGTGCGGAGTACAGCCACAAGGCCTTAGGGTCATCATTTACACAATATGATCTGCCATGCAAGGTAGTGGGACAATGATGGCAAACACATGCTTATATAGGTGTTTTAAGAGTCTTTGACTTTTGCCACAACAAACACTTACTTCTGGGGTGTTGTACATTTGCGGACCCCGTAACTACATTCAATATAGGTGTTTTAAGAGTCTTTGACTTTTGCCACAACAAACACTTACTTCTGGGGTGTTGTACACTTGCGGACCCCGTAACTACATTCAATTTGCAACTCATCCAACTCATCATGAAAGGTCTTCAACTTGCTCACGGACATCAGTGCTGATGTCCGGGCTGCTGCTGTCACCGCACTAGCAAGAATGCGAGACCGAGGCTGTGACGGTCCAGCAAACCACTAGTTCACACCTTATAGAAAAAGGTGATGAAGATGATGGAAGATGAAGGCAAGGGCCTCCATAGAGGGGCCTTATCAAAGACGCCCTTTCCTTCCCTTTTTCATTCTTGTTTAAATAGAACTTATACAGACACCCCTGTGTTATCCAGCTCTGAATTGACAGGTCCCCACTTCGCGACAGTCATTGCCCAGCGGCTGAAAGCAGAAGGCGAAGAGCCCAAGGTGCGCATTGCGGTCCTGAACTCAGCTTGAGGTGAAAGAACAAATGTCAGTTGCGATGACATGGTCACTGTTCATCGAACATAATAGATCTCAAAACCTGCCAACCTTCAGACCTGCTCTCAAAAGATGAACTCCCTGCCCATCCAAAGATGTCCAAAGACTTGGAAAACGATGAAGGTGAGGAGTCTAGGACAATGAAGATGGTGATGAGGATGTGTAAGTGCTGACTCTGCCCTGACAGTAGGTGCTATGAAGCTGGCCAGATAGATTCACATGTCCAAGATGACCCGTATCACGAAAGGTTGCCTCAGGCACTCTGAGTTGAATTAGCTTGGGGGTAAATCCATGGAACTCCCGGTCATGGCCTTCACCCCACACATTCAGCTTGTCGACTGACGTACATCAATGCATTTCACTTTCACATCCTCACATACTCACTTCATTCTCACTGATCCTCACTCATCCTGCTTGTCTACATGATTCTTTCTGAGCCTCTGAGCTTCATCCTTGTCCTCGCGCTTTCCTTCATGTGTGTTCCGTGACTGTTGTTGCTCCCGATACCTTTGCTGGACCTCATGGTTTGCCGCTGCTGATTTGCTGTTGTATTTGCTGCTTCAGGCTTGCTGATGTGCTGCCGCTCTGCTGCTGGTCTACCGGTGCTGCTGCTGCTGCTGCTGCTGGCTAATTGCTAGTCGTTTGCTGGTCTCGCGGTGGTGGTGCTGGTGCTGCTGCTGCTGCTGCTGCTGGTGGTTTGCAACGCATTTTTTCATGCGCTTTCCCAAATATGTTCATCCTGTGTTTGACTTCTTTTTGTTGCTCCCCATGCTTCTTGCTTGACCACATGGTTTGCTTCTGCTGTTTTGCTGCTTCTGCTTTTCTGGTTTGCCGCAGGTTTGCAACTGGTGCTGCTGCTGATATGCTGTGCTGGTTAACTGCTGGTTCCTGCTGCTGCTGCTGCTGGTTGTCTGCTGGTCTGCTGGTGTTGCCGCTGCTGGTTTGCGGCTGCTCGTTTGCTTTTACTGGTTCACTAGGTTCGCACGCACCCGCCCCACAACTATCGCCACGTGACCAAGTGCTTCCCTCTGTCACAGATACCATCAGATACCCAACCCAACACTGTAGCCATATGCCCGTATGCCCTCTTTGGTTGTCCCTTATCCTTCCCTTTACCAAAAAGCCTTTCGCACCCTCTTCAAGTAGAGTGTCAGACACCGTTGCGTCACTTTGAACTCATTGAAATCAGCACATAAGGACGACAGCATTTGTTGCAACATAACATCGGGTGGAAACCTGTAACTAAGGTACTGTAATGCAAAGCGGAACCCATCAGTCAGAATGAACTGAAGGACAAGGGACCCACAACTTGTGGACTGTGAAAAGACCGTCGATGGAACATTGACAAAACTTGCTGGGGCGCCGGCATGTCGCCTAAGCGCGCTCAATGCAACACTGGAAACTAGGATAGAGTCCGATTCCGCAAGTGCACAGGATTCCGCAACTAGGATTCTGCAAAGCATCCAAGCAAAAGCAAATACAGGGGTGGGTGGGGTGGGGGGGTTTGGGGGGGACCATCGCGTTCGTTGAAATTGCAATCCAGAATATCAGTTTCAGAACACCAGTTGCAGAATCCGACTGTCCAGTTTCAGAATACCAGCTTCAGAATCCGGCCGATTAGTTTCCGCATCCGGACATATACAAAAACTATGGCAAAGTATGTTAGTGCATGACAGTCCATGTCATTGCACTGTTGTCAGAAGGATCTCAAAGCCGACACAGTATTGAGGGCAAGTCATGTAGCACCTCTTGTTGGAAAAACACACATGTCCCAAAAAGGGGAGCCACAATTAGCCACAAGGGACTACATCACCGGACCAACACTGTCCCAACAAAAGCGGAGTGTAGGACTGATGCACACTGACACCTGCAGGCCATGGAAGCACTGTCGGCATTGGAGGCACTTGTTTCTAATAGCTTCTTGTTACTAGCAGTAAGGCACTTGCTACTAGTAGCGATGCACTTGTTTGTATTAGCTTCTTGTTGTCAACACTTTGAAGTTGTTTTGATCGAAGCCATGAAATTGCTTTATCGCTGCTCAAGGAGCGGGCCATGAACTTCATGGATCTCATCAGAGAGCAGCAGAGGGACCGCAGCCTTGAAAAACAGTTCAAAAGTTTAGATAACGAGAGCACTCAGCAATTAGAAGTTTTATATAAGGGAACCTTTGCAGGATGAGATGCCAATAGTACGAGAAGCTGCTCAGAAATGTGCCTCAAACCGCACAGGTCATGAGGAGTCACGACGACTTGTTGCATTAATGCCAGGTTTGCAAAGACTTGGACAGCCTGGTTACAGAGACGCCTTGCAGGTGGACCAATGCTCTTGCACTCATGTTGGACTGGAAAGTGCATCTCCAGAGCTAAACAAAGCCTTTGATGGTTCAGAGTATGCACGAACGCTAGCAGGATGGTGAGGAAGAATGAGCCGATATCCTGACTTGGCAAGTCAACGAAGTGTACCAGGACCAGGAATAACATGCATCCGCTGTCCTCTTGGTATCCACAAATGATACTTCATATCATGTTGGAGCAAGTCATGCAAATGATGATCCTCATCGTTGGCTGCAAGATGCCAATCTCAGACTACATAGCATTCTTCGCGAGTGGAAAAGTCGCAACTTGATCGAGTGATGGAATCTGGAAGTGCAGGCCATGATCCTTTTGCTTGCGATATCTTGCGATATTTTTTCAGGTTGCAGGTATTGGGATGATTGCTGCAACAATAGGAGATTCTATAGCAGTGGACTTGCTCGCGCCATTGACTTGGATAACTCGACACAATGTTCTCAACAACCGCAATGTCCAGACTTCCTCCAGCACCAAGGGATGATGCTACATTGGCTGATTGCCGAAGGACGGAGATACTTTCCAGCTTTTTCCAACACGTGCGGATTTCCGCGGCATTTGGCCCGGTGCCATGTCAATATAGGGGTCAGAAGTGTCAGGACTCAAGTCAAGTCACATGACCGGAACATGGGTATGAACTTATGAACAAAGCAGTGAACCGTAAGTGCAGGTTCCTTTGGGTCAGTGCGGATTTGGCAGTTCAGCTACGCGTTGTGATCTCGGTTTGGGGTCATTTGCTCATCAGACACTAAACGCCTTCATTGACCTGACCAGACACTTTGATGAGCTCAGGACCCCGACCTCGACCAATGTTTGAAGGATGCTTTTGCAGAGGCCATTTTCGATCTTCAAGACTAGATGTATACAAATATACATTCATAAATTACAATCATACTATGATTTAATATGATTGTAATTCTATGTATGCATCCAGCCTTGATAATGTATGTAATATGTGATCAGAATCATGATAACATATTTGTATTTCGGGTTGTGATTCGTTACTCTACAGAAGGTCCTGAAGTAGTTCGTGTGAAAAATGCTCTAGTTGAGCCTTAGTATATGTTTGTATGTGTATTGTGTTTTGCACACACAGGTGCGGGCCCCCGGCCACCACCTCCTCTTCCCAAACACACCGCGCCCCTGGCGCCACAGTCTTTCACCTCCAGCGATCGTCCACGATCGATCCAGCTCGAAAGGTCGTCCTCGACCAGGCACCAACGAAATGGCGCACGCCGCGTGCGGAAAAGCCCCCCGACTTCGAGCCCTTTCCTGCGACACCCACAAACACTGCTGTGCAGTGACCCTCACGAACGACAGAGCTGGTTGCTGGTGGATATACGGCTTAACACTCCTAAAAATATCTATAGTTCAAACGTTTGAACTGTTCATGCAAGTTGAGGTCACATTGTGCGATGGGCTCACACCAAGAACAGAGGTGTTTCAGTGTGTTCTACGATTGGCACTGCTTGGAATGGCTTGCGTCGTAATCATTCTGATTACTTCCCTCACACACATGGCAGACATTGGCCTCAGCTGCCGAGGCTTGCTGCATCCAAGCTTGTCTCAATCTTTTGTCAGACCGTTGTTTTAGCACCTCATCAACATCCCTGAGTAAACATCGGCCTTGTTCAAGAAATGTTCTCAGGATGGTGGTGTCCATAATAATATCCTTTGTGAGCGAATTCTTTCAACCGGTCTTATATCACTATAATGCTTCGAGAAGTGTGCGGTATTCTGAACAGGAGGGCGCTGCGGTTTTCAGAAGAAGGTCGTATAGACTCTTACAGTCCACGACAGCGTATGCCGCGGGCAGCTTTGTCAGGGTTTCTGCGGGCTTCTTCCAGTCCACTTGTGGATCCAAGAGCCAACTCCACATGAGCCTTATCCAGCTGAGTTGGTCCAACGCACCTGAAAGAGCATATGTTTCTAAAGCAAGTGTGCTTGACACTACACGGTTGATTTTGCGGGAACTCCAAATTAACGGACTTACCTGTGATCCCTTGCCGTCTTCGACGGATTGGGCGGTAGCAAGAATGAAGGTTCCTCTCTGTGAGTGTGCTCTCTCTCTGGTCGCAAAGGCAGCGTCGGAAAATGACAGGAACCTGACATCGTCAGGTGGGAGTGGCTGAATTCGGATTTGGACACGGGCATGTCTCTTGGCATCATCAAGCAGGCGGTTTGCAACAAGGAGATCCTCTATCGTGGCGTTCGGGATTTTTGCTTGCAATATTAAACTCAAACCTACATGAAAATCTCGTCGTGTGTTGGTTGCGGCATACTGGAGACTGCCAATTAGTCCACGTAGACTTTGGATTTCTTGGTTGGTGGCATTGGCCTTTTGATCTCTCCTGCGTTCCCGGGGAATTTCTGCTGGTGGTATGTTTCGGATGTATTCGGTTTGTTTCAACCGAATTTCCCCATTCGTCTCTTGACTCGCCTGAACCCCTGTGAAAGTAAACTTCTGTACCTTTCTACTGCCAAATGGGAACCTTTGCTCGAGTCGATCGATTGCTTGATTGAAGACTTAATCTCCCCCACAGATTCCGTCCTCTACATGGATGCCGAGAGCTCCATGAATCCTACATGGATCATTGGGGTTGATCTTGGCTTGATCTTTGGGCAAAACAAACAAGCAGGGATCTAGCGGCGACGCCTGAAACCCAAGTGCAATCAATGCGTTTCTGAGTTCAATGTACCACAACAATGGAGCATTCACGAGGCCGTATGCTCCTTCCAACAGTTCACAGGCTTCATTCTCACGGAGTCCAAGACGACGGCGCATTTCCACAGGAGGTTCTATGCCCAGTATTCGTGAGTCCTGCTTGCTACCCCTTGAAAGGCAGTGGAGATATCACTTGCAATGAGTTGTAACAAAAGCATTCTCGTATCGTATCTCTGCCCAATGTCGGACTATCACGTGGAAGCGACTCCATGAGGGGTCCTCGTATCCTAAAATTACGAGCCGGGCCGCTCGTCCAGTGGCTCCGGCGCCTGATTCCCGATATTGCGACGAATGGTCTCTGTTGAGATCCATTCATCTATTTCCTTAGTTTTTGCTTGTTGTAATTCAGCTCTCTCGGCAGGTGTTAGGTCTTTCAGTTTGACTCCCACTTTCTGGCGTCTTGCTGCAGATGCAACCAAAGCTTCTTGCTGTTGGTAACTGGCTTTGCAGCATTGTAGTTCTGACATAGTCAGTAGTACTTCACATTGATATCCATTAGCTCTGTTTTCCTTTGGTTGGTCATCTACGGTCATCCAAGCACTGTCCGATTTCGCATGTGACACATGTCGTGAACAAGAAGCGCCCAAAATCGCCAGACCCGCTCATTTATCGAGTCCCAGGTCAATGGAAAACACCCAGTGGAGACAGTTATTGGTGCTATCACTTCATTGACTCCGCGACCAATTTCCATGTAGCAACTGCCGTACATCAAGGTACCACGCAAAGTCTCGCCCAAAGCTTTGAAGACGCATGGATTCGATGGGCAGGACCCCCCAGAGAAGTGATGTTTGACAGTTGTGGCGAAGCAAACAGCCAGGCTTTCAGTGATTTTCTGCAGGAGCATGATGTGAAAGCCTACCCAATCCCATCAAGGGCACACTGGCAACTAAGGACGGCCGAGCGTAATGGTGCAATCCCCAAAGCCATGTTAACAAATTATCACGCCGAACAACCGATCAAAAATCATGAGGGTTTCCGACAGGCACTCCTGCATTTGTGTAATGCCACTCACTGTCTAAGCATGCCGGATACAGGTTCATGACCAATGCAGTCTAGTACCAATGACTTGACTTCATCAGGCATGCTTGGACTTGCATTCGCATCAGAATCACTCACTTCTCCTCCGGCAGGGAATAGCCGGCAGGGTCCTGAGTGTTCGACTCCAGATTGGGCGTCGATGGTGTCAGGACCTGAAGGATCTGCTGCAGCGCTGCTTCGAGACGATCGAGTCGTTGGGACTGTTGAGTGATCTCCTGATCTCGCCGGTCTTCCTCGACCCAGCGGCCCTCGTCCACCCACAACTCCGTCTCCTCGACGGTGGCCGGATGGATAGTGGCCGCTTTTTGGCCTTGGCTTGAGCATGTAGTGGGTGACTGGTCGGAGTCTTCCTCCTCCACACATCGTTTGATGTAGGTCACGAAGCTCTTGTGTGCTGTTGGGGCTGTCCTGGTAGCGAGCCAGGAACCAGCTCACATAGCGGGAGTCGCTCTGCCTGCAGGACTTCCTGATACGTCTGGCCCCTTGGCTTCCCCGAAGGAGATCCTCAGGCTGGCCAGCTCCTCCACGGTCATGCACACGACCACATCAGGATCTCCATCTTCTGCCATTTGTTCAACTGTTGTATCACCCACATAGTCACCAACAAATCAAAATTCCTCATTTGCCGGGAATGGCGTGGTTGACAACAAGGTGGTTTCCTCCTCTGTGAACAAAGCAGTGGTGTCATATGTCTTGGTTCGAGGGTTGTGCTGTTTGCCGGCATGGACCTCATGGAAAAAGCGGCTGCCCAAAAGCTTGAGGTTTGCTACCACATCACGATATTCCAAGGAACTCTGCGACGCGACGCTCAACCGTTTCTTGTCTTCGGCGTTCAACGCAGAGTTTCTCAACAAAATATAAGCACGGAATTCTTCCATCCCAATCTTCATCCCGATCAGTTCTTCGAATTGATGGATAGGATTTCTCGTCGGAATGTTGGGTCGTTCGGTATATGGCTTTTTCAAACCGTCAATCTTATCCTCCAGCTGTGACTTTCCCCAAATTCCACCCAGCGACTCCACGATCGCCTTGACCCCTTCAAGGCCGTTGCCCCTCAACACTTTGGGATCCAAGCGACACACGCGCTGAAAAGCCGAGCCCTCACATTGAAGTGCAATGGTGCCAACAAATGTAAATGCTTTGAGGGGGAACTCTATATACCTTCTTTGTCCACTCGGTCAGGTTGGTCTCTCCTTGTTTGAAGCCTGGTACTTGACTCCAAGGAAGATGACTAAGGCTGCTTGAACCGGCGCTCACAACGCCTTCAGCAACTTTCGGAGCCATTTCTCCCCTGGAACCCCTACACAGCTTCCGAGGTCAACGAGGAGGGAAAAACGAACCCCGGCCGTGTGGGGCTCACCTACCAATGTGTTTTGCGCACACTGGCGCGGGCCCCCGGCCACCACCTCCTCTTCCCGCGCCCCTGGGGCCACAGACTCGTCTCACCCCCAGCGATCGTCTACGATCGATCCAGCTCGAAAGGTCGTCCTCGACCACAAATGGCGCGCGCCGCGTGCGGAAAAGCCCCCCGACTTCGAGCCCTTTCCTGCGACACCCACAAACACTGCTGCGCAGTGACCTTCACGAACGACCGAGCTGGTTGCTGGTGGATATACGATCAAACAGTGTATGTATACACGTATATACACACATATGCATGCATGTCTACATAATATACAAGTAGTTCCCGGGCAAGCCGGCGGCGGAAGTTTCCTATAAGAAGAAATTGACCTATAGGAGTGTCCACGTTCTCTCCAACACGCGCGTCCTCCAGTCAAACGCACGCGCTCCGGACTTTTGACCCACGGGATTCCACGTGTGTAAGGTGTGTGTGCCCCCTGCGAGAGATGACACACATCCGGCCACCACGACTTGCCAAGGATGCGGTCCACATCGACACACATCCCACCGTGGCATTCTTCAGTGGCGGCAAACCTTGCATATCACACATCGGACTGAATGGAATCCGAATTTGAATGTAAAATCTGTCTTGAACTCTGAGACTATGTATGATGAGTCTTGTATGATGAGGGGTGTATGACAAGTGATGAATGATGAGTGGTGTATGTTG